CAGTGAGTGGTGTGGGGAGCGTGGAGGTGATGCCGGGCAGCAGCGGAGGGAGGGTTTCAACCTGCATCTTTGAAAACGTGGGTCAGAACGACCACTGAAGACTGGGAGACCTGAACCTCCAGGTGAATCAGAACAGTCACCCATGAGGCATGTCCTTGCAAGACAATCACCGTCAAGGCCCACAGGCAAAGAGGTAGAATCTTTATCAAAGCGAGAGGGTTCGGCCTCGGGAGGGAGGCAACGATGGAGTAGCCTTTTCAGAAGCCAGGGGCTCCAGGTGCTGCCAGGACGCGCTGGACGCGCTGGACCGCGAGGCGAGGGGAGGCCAGCCTGAGCCCTGCGGGGTGGGCTGGAGCCAGAGGCACCAACTCAGGCTCGCTTGCTCTTTAAATTGCGGTCAGTTACAGTGTGTCAGTTTCTGGTGTGCAGCACCGTGTCCCAGGCGTGCACACACATACTTTTCTTTAAAGGCTATCGTAAGACTGACTATAGTTCCAGGTGCTACACAGAAGACATTTGTTCTTTTAAGTCTGTCCTTATGTACAGTGGTCACCATTTGCAAATCTCAGGCTCCCACGTTCCCCCTTTCCTGCTCCCTTTGTCTCCCCTCAGACCGTAAGACTCTGCGAATCTGCTTCTGTTTTGTACATGACTTCCTTAGTGTCCTCTTTTTTCATTTTTCTTTTTTTTTAGATTCCACACATAAGTAACGTAGGGTATTTTTCTCTTTCGGGCTTATTTCACTTAGAATGATGATCTCCAGGTCCATCCGGGTCACTGTGGATAGCATTATTTCACTTTTTTAAATGGCGGAGTTGTGTTCCGTTGCATATACACCACAGCTTCTTTACCCAGCCACCTGCTGATGGACATTTAGGGTGCTTCCATGTCTTGGCTGTTGTAAACAGTGCTGTTATGAACACTGGGGTGCGCATCTTTTCGAATTAGAGTTCCCTCTGTTTACATGCCCAGGAGTGGGACTGCTGGATCAGAGGGTAAGTCTGTCTGTTTTTTTGAGGATCATGTGCCGGTTCATAATAACCAGCAGCGGAGAAGCGCGGAGGTGGCGGTGCGCCTGCAGGCCGGCAGGCAGTGTCCTCTTCCACTCCCCCCACGTGTGCTGTTTCTGCCATTTATGTTACTTCTGGCGTCTGTTAAAAGCGCGCGATTCCCTGTCACCATGTTTGTTTACGTGGTCAAGTCTCACAGATACAGTTTTGGAGAGTTCCCGTGTGTTCACCCCCATGTCACCACCTCCCACCTCCCCGTTTCTCCCTGCCGCCAGCAGCTTCCCTCCAGGACCCTGGCCTTTCCACCCAAACACTCCCTTTAATATTCCCTGTGGTGTGGGGTGTTGTGAAAAAATTCAGCCTTTAGTTGCCCGAAGACACCACCTGCATTGGCAGGAGGTATGTTCAGCGGGAGTGGGGTTCCGGGTTGGCAGTGGTTTGGGCGTGGCCGTGGCCTTTGCGTGTCTTTTTTTTTCCTACTGAAGTACAGTCAGTTACAGTGAGTCCATTTCTGGGGCACAGCACAGTGTCCCAGTCATGCATATACATACATGTATTCGTTTCTGTATTTTTCATTAAAGGTTATTACACGATATTAAACATAGTTCCCTATGCTGTACAGAAGAAACTTTTTAAATCTATCTCTATATGTAGTGGCTAACATTTGCAAATCTCAAACTCCCAAATTTCTCTCTTCCCACCCCTTCCCCAGTAACCATAAGATTGCTTACTCTGTCTGCGAGTCAAGTCTGTTTGTTCTGTAGGTGAGTTCATCGTGTCCTTTGTTTTCGATTCCACGTATGAGAAAAACACCCTATGGTATTTTTCTCTTTCCGGCTTCATTTAACGAGATGATCTCTAGGTCCATCCGTGTTGTTGCAAATGGCATTTGACGGTTTTATGATCGAGTCGTGTTCCACGGTGTGTGTATATACACACCACAACTTCTTCATCCAGTCATCTGTCAGTGGACATCTACGTGGCGCCTTTTAGCATCTTAAAGATGCCGTCCCATCGGGGAGCTGCCACCATCAGCCCTTTGAAGGAGCGTGCCGTTTTTGCCTGGTTGCTCGAGTGTTTTACCTTTGCCTCGAAGGTACTTGGCTGCAAAGTGTGGCCTTTCCCGTATTCACCCTGCTGCATGTTTGCTGAGCATCGTGGGTCTGCAGGGCGGTCCTTTCCATCAGCCTGTTAGCTCTTCACACACCTGGTGTGCCCGTCTTCTCTTTGCACCTCAGGATTCCAGTGACCTGTGTGCGGGGCTGTGTGAAGTGACCCCGCAGGTCTCTCATACTCTGCTCTGGGTTCCTTCCCCCTGTTTTCTGTCGGCTTAGCCTGGAGA